CAAAGGCAACAATACAACAACAACCACGCTCAGCGCACAATGCACCCACAACAATAACAATGCAGCAACATGTTGCCAAGCGGCGCGCCGCGTAGATAAGCGCTCAAGCGTAAGCTTCCTGCCGCACAATGTGGCAATAACAATAGCAACAACATATCCTTAGCTGCATGAATTAATGGTTGTTATGAGCTGAGTGTTGTTAGACCTTTGGAAAATTTGCATTACGCCCACCGCAGTGGCAGTCACCCAGCCGAGGCGACTTGTAGACACCCACGCACTGCTGTTACTGGAAATGAGTCTCATGTGCGTACATATGTATGTACATATGTGTATGTGAATGCAAATAGAATTCCATAACATAGCATGACCACAACAAAGTTGCATGCTACAAACTGCAAAACATTATATTAGCTCTTCCCTAGTGCGCCTGTTTGTCGTCTCTGAGGTGGTAGGAGTAAGCTAGAGTTTAATGTGTTTGTGATTGGGCATCAAAATATTTTCATATTGGTAACCCTGTCAAATGGTAGTTCACTGCAGAGCGACCGAGAGGCAATTGGTTAACGGTAAATCGGAAATGTGTGCAATGCGCCATAAGTGATGCTAAATATTTATGTATTAGTGGAAACCACGCACTTTTCGATACTTCTATGGGTTGGAATTTCGAACTGCCATAGACACTGCAATTCTTTTACTCAATCCCTTTTCGTATAAAATATTAAAGTAACAAAAAAAAAATACGTTTTATTTCTTAGGTTTTAGCTATTGTGGACCACTGCAGCAAATTATGATTTAGGTACCAATCATAAAGAGGCCTGGACTACAAGTGCGCTACGTTTACGAGGTAATGAGGTGAAGCTTTGAACGACTTCCTTAACTTTAAGGTAACTCATACACAGCAGAGACAATACTTGCAAGGAAAATTGCAAGCTTGTATACGGGTTCACCACCATGAACGAGTTGCCAAATTCAGACATCGCGGCATATAGGCAACTTCTTTTAGTGCATTCAAATTTTTTAAATATTTGTCCAACTTAAAGGTGAACGCTTTCTTTAAACTCTATATCAATTCTATTAAGTGCTACGAGTATCACCAGTTAATTAAGTTTTCCAACGTAAAACAGTCACTTCACTGCACATACTTTCCCTAGGGGTAGACTATCAAATCATGGTCTATTTAACTTTCATTGAGTGGTTGTAAATATTTGAAAAGAAATTGCAACCCCCCAAAAAAAGTATTTGTAAATATGTATTTATGTGCGTAAGTGAAAGTTTTGTAGTGATGTGGTGTCTTTTGATTGAAAAAGGCAGTCGACAGTGTTTAACTTTGCTATTAGAGGAACGTAATTAAGCCAATTTATTTTGGAAGTATGTACATAAATATGAAAAATTAGAAGCAAATATTTGAACGATATTAACGAAAGTGGTGAAAGATATTTTTAGGATTTGCGTTAATAATCTTTCCAATAAATATAGACGTCGACTTAGTAGGAAATAAATAGTGCATGTATTGCGGAAAACCATGAGTAAGATTCTGTATACACACATATCTTTACCGTATTTAAAGAAGATAAAATATTAATTATTCGCAATCACAACATTATCGGTAAAAATAAGGGCTACGTCTGTTCTGCCTTCTCGGAATTAGATAACAGGGTTGAGTTTAACATCAAACATATTTTGCAACGTAGAAGGGCAACATTTTTTTGAAGAAACGAAAGCACCATAAAGTATAGAATTTTAGGCAGATCAACGTCTGTGATATCTGCAAGTTTTCAAATAATTTTTTCTAAAAATACTTTTCTCTGCTCAATCGTACAATTTGTTGCACCACCCACTCTTATCGTACAAGACGTCCCTCTGCCTAAGTTTCCCCTAAAATGGCTTAAGCCGAAATTGGTTTTGGTCACAATCACACGAGCTAAAGCTATTGCAACAGTTTAAATGGCAAAAAATTACTCTATACACGCAATCACAGCTTCAAATTTGTTGGGCGGAAGCAAAATCTTGTACATTTTTGTCGATTTACCCTTTTTTTCGAGCTAACTTTCCCCTGAGCTTATCGCTGATTTTCATTCACTCATTGAGGTAGTTGCTTGAAAATACAAAAAAAAAAAAATACTAAATTGCCTCCCGCATTTTCGTCTGGAAAATTTTGTGAAAATTCCCATACCAAAAAGGGCTTTAAGGCGAAATGAAGCCCTAAAAAAACGAACAAGAAAAAAGTCAGATTCGGAGTTAACGAAGTTATACACGTCAACTTTAGCCCGCGTGTTGATGATGGGTGGGCAAATTTGTGCACATGAACACGACTTACACAAACACACAAACAAATTTAACACATGAATAAGTTTAATTATGCGATACAGGGGAAAAGGGTGCTTATTTTACGTTGGCGGAAAAATTCTGTACTCTAGCGTGAATAAATGTTTACACAGGCTCACGTTGGGAATTGCAATCGATAAGGAGTTTCTAGCCGTAAATATACCGGCTTTAATGTTTTACGTTTTCTTTTTTTTTTGTATTCTATAGTTATATGTGTGTACAGAGTATTGCAGTATAAACACACGTATGTAACAGTTATAACTGTGACCAACGTGTGCAGACTATGAAATTAGCGTTGCCCTCTGCCAGGAGTACGATGTTGCTTGTGGGGTGACTGGGTGGCTTTTAGTCGCGCCTACCCTCTGTTTCAGTTCAACACTCATAACCCTGGAAAATGTAAATAAGGCTCAGGCAAAAAAAAAATCCTATGAAAGAGGGTTGCTGAGAGGTTTTTTTTTGCAGTGTATTACAACTTTAACTTCACTGCGCCTAAAAATATGCAAACTGCCGACTTTGATGTACACATAGACACAGCTGTAATTTCTAACCACAACATGTCGGGTTTTTTTCTTTAGCAGAACATGTTTTTATTTACTCGAACACTGGGCGTTTAAGGCCAACCAAGCGGAAGAGCGAAAAAAATACTTGGAGTGCGAAAATTCCTCTACAACATGGTAGTTTAATCCCCTAAAGGTATGTAATAAAATTTCGTTCTGTGTTTTTAAGCCAAACGACGGAGCAGAAGGTTCATACCTACAAATAGTTAGACTACTTCTTGTTCTTGTGTTGCTGTTGTTTCCGCAATTTGACTATATTTTCAACCACTAAAAAGGCATTCAGTCACTAAAGGTACTTTGCACAGTTTTTTATATGGATTACATGAAGCAGTTAAAAAATATGTTGTAAGTATGTAAGACTGTAAATAATTTCATGTTGTAGCGGTTATTTTAAATTTCCAATAACAGTTTAATGAGGTGTCCTGCTATGGACACCTAAAGCTTTCATCAGATTATGAGCGCCGCCTGGTGGGTAAGGGTATTATGCGTACTAATTTTGAACCAGAATACTAAAAATACAAATTTTGTAAATTTCTAATATCGGGTAAATTTTTATTCTCAATCATATCGGTCAACAAATGAAAATTTTCTAAATATCTTGATTCTAGACTCCATCACTAACTGGCTGGTAAATATTTTTTTAATCGATTCATAAATGTGGAATTTCTAATTATCTAGACTCCAGCGCCACCTAGCGAGCTGCAGTTTAAGAATGAAGCAGATAGCTGGATGACGCAGGTGCATTTTATTGAAGCTAAATATTAGATATTGCGGCCGCTGTGGTGTGCACTGCGCGCTACCATTCCGCAGGGCCTGGTTTAAAGCTCAGCTTCCGATTAAGATAAAAAAGAACAAGTAAGAAAGTCTTAGTTAGGGCGGAGCAGAACATTAAATACCCGGCACAAGTATTAACTAAACGTTTTTCTCTTTTCCGAAAACTACCGCTACATGGTAAGCCGGGGTGTATCAATTTTGAGTAAATTAGAGTCCTTAAATTTCGAAATATCGAAGTTTCAAGCATTTCTGAAATTTACCGTTATATGAAAAGTGGCCGTAATTTTAGTCCGATTTCAATAATTTTCAACATTTTGCTTTTATGTGGCAAGCACAATAACCCTACCGAGTTTGGTACATATTGGTATAACGGTTGTCGAGATATATATATGTGATAATAAATGGGTGGTGCCACGCCCATTTTCCAAAATTTTATCATAAACTTGTTTTTGCTAAAGAACTATTGCAAACATCAATTTTGAATAAATTAGCTTCTGTATTTACTGATTTGTCGAAGATTATTATTAGATGTCTCCTGAAGAGAAACAGAGTTTTCAAGAATTCTATGCCATTTCGACGAAAATTTTTTCCTTTCTACATATAAAATACATGGAAAACTTTGAGCGCTTTGAACGACCTGCAAATATTTTTAAATTTCCAAATAAAAAAAGGGGTATTGTTTTTTTCGGCATACAACAATCGTAGGGGGCGAGCGCATTAGAATACCGACTTTACTCCACTTTGTACCACCTTAATGTTGATACATTCATATGTACATACGTATGTATGTGTATACGTACGTCTCGGAAGAACAAGCAGGGTGTGTCCAGTTTCCGCTTCCACACAAACAATTCCTAAAAAAAGAGGAAACAAAAACGTTCTTAATGCCGTTTGTCATTCATGAATAACTCGAAAAAAGCAACAAAGCGTTTGACATATTTATGATTACATCGCAAAAAAGATTCAATACAAAGCGCAAAAATAAAGCACTTAAAAGGAACCTGTAATGCATTCGCTAGCAGTGCCACACGAGGCGCTTGGAAAAAAACAAATAAATTAGCCTGTAATTATCAATAACACGAGTACTTAAGTATAAGAATGTGTATTTTTAAACACTCGGAAGAAGAAAAAACGCTTCCATACAAACATTTTTAGCCTAAGAATATCTTCAATTCAAAGTAAGCGGTGACACGCCGAGAGGAAGAGGCGACAATATTTTTAAATGTCACACTAAGTTAAATTAATCCATTAAGGTGGGACCAAGACAGTTATGAATAGTATTGCTTTAGCGGACGGAGAGCTAATTGAAAATTACGAAGTTGGTAACTAACTTTAATCCCGCGAAGTGGCTGTACTAAAAATTTAGCCACGCACCAAAGTATATAAAAAGCCCTCTGTGCAGGCGAATTGGCATAATTAAACCAAACTTTAACCGAAAAACATGAAGTTATTACTGATTTTTGCTGCTGGTGAGTACATACAATGCGCTTGAAGATTCTTAACTCGAATTGAAATAAACTAACTTTTATTGCAGCAATCGCCTGCGCACATGCACTACAATTGCAGTACATAGTTCAGGGATCGGGCGAATCCAGTGAAGAGGAATATAGTTTAGTACTGCCTTCGAGTGGTAAACCTGCCTTTGCCGTGCTTGATAAACCCAAAGAGGAGGATTCGGATGAAGAATCCAGTGAAAAGGAATACCGTTTACTTTTACCAACCGTTGGTCAACACCAACCCAGCTTATCAGGTGTGCCTATTTTCCAGACAGTTAAAGTAAAGGTACCACGCCATGGCGACTCGTCGATCAAGCAACAACTTTTCGCGCAAGCTTTGGCTGCACGTGGCATAAGTCTGCAAGACTTGGGCGTAGATCCTTTAACTAGCAGACGCTCCGAACCCAATTTGGGTATCCAAAATTTAGGCGCTCAACTTTTGGCGAGATCAGCAGGACTTAATTACGGTGGCCAAGATTACGGCGCTCAACTTATGGCGAGGTTAGTGCCAAATTTGGGTGTCCAAGACTTAGGCGCTAAAATTTTGACGAGATCAGCAGCACCTAATAACGGTGGCCAAGATTACGGCGCTCAACTTATGGCGATGTTAGCGCCAAATTTGGGTGTCCAAGACTTAGGCGCTAAACTTTTGACGAGATCAGCTGCACCTAATAACGGTGGCCAAGATTACGACGCTCAACTTATGGCGATGTTAGCGCCAAATTTGGGTGTCCAAGACTTAGGCGCTAAACTTTTGACGAGATCTGCTGCACCTAATAACGGTGGCCAAGATTACGGCGCTCAACTTATGGCGATGTTAGCGCCAAATTCGGGTGTCCAACACTTAGGCGCTCAACTTTTGGCGAGATCACAAGGATCTAATAACGGTGGCCAATATAACGGAGCTCAACTTATACAGCACTCGATGCCCGACTTGGGACAGAGTCAAGTTTATCTGATACGTAAACAACGCCAGGCGCCAGCTTCAGATAAAAATGTAGGTGAAGTTGTAGCGGAAGGTGGAAATGTTGATAGTGTCATTGCATCTAATGCAGTCACGGAAGCGCCCGTTATTGGGGTCGTCACAAAACCTCCAATCGTAGATGCAGTCGTTGCTCCTATCGTATCTGCGGTACGCCAAGTCCGCCGGTCTGCCAAGTCAAATTAAATAAACTTTTTTTTATAGGCTGCGAAGACCCTGAGTAAGAATGCTTTATTACACCAATAAAACGAAGAACTAAAACAAGAAAACTGTATTTATTTTTATATTTTGAAATGAGCGGCGAATATGGTATCCAATCTTATTGTGGAATGAGACAAAAT